GCAGTTGCCTTGCCAGCAAGCTGCTGTTAACAATATCCTTTTTATTCCAGGGGCCCAAATCTGCCGTCTGCGAACCTGACTGGCTTTTGCAATTGATTTCAGCGAGGCCCTTGATTTTCACTGACATTTGCTTCGGTCAGTCACGGCTGCCTGCTCCTTCCCCATCCCTCCTCCCCACCGCGCAGCAGCACCCTCAGAGCCTCCCCTTCCCCCCCATTTACAGAGGAAGCTGAATTCCTGGCTTTGCAACAAGAAAGGCAAAGTTTGGCATTCAGACAGCAAGGAAGGACTCAGGAAATCTGGTCCGGTGCCTGTGTCTTCTTCGAGTTACTGCATGATGGTGCATAAATCACTGCGTTCCCCTGTGCCTCAGTTCCCTGGCTGTGGCCGAGGATGACGGTACCCCCTCACCTCGGGGGAACAGGGGATATTAATTACTGTTCATAAGGTGCTCAAATGCAGCAGCATAAATAGTAAACAAGTATTTAATGCATTTCTAAAGATAACTAATCTGCAAATACTAAGGTCCATAGCCTGGGACTGGAATTGGGAGCTCCCTTGGCTGTTATATAACTGCAGTTTTTGGTTTGTTTGTGGGTTTTTTTTTTTTAGGGAATGGGTTGTTTTTATTACTGTAGTTATTTCATAAATAAGCAACACATCTGACTAGAAAGGATCAAACAAAAATAAATGCCTGCTTAACCCAGGCATATGGAAACTAAGTGTTATTTTAATTATATTTTTGAAACAGCAACCTCCTATCTTTGGCCCAAAGCTTTCAGAATTCAAAGGCAAACATTGCCCTGATTTCCGCCCTCCCCCCCCATCCACAGCCTCTTTGCCTTTGCGTTGGTGAATTTGGGGCTGCCAGGTATCTCCCGAGTGCAGGAGTCCAACTGATTGTTGCCAAAGCGAGAAGTGACGAGGGGACACGGGGATGCCGTATGTCTCGCCTCTCCCTGTGAGGGGGATCTCCTTCCCATGGGAGGCTCCAGTCTCGTGCAGGAGATGTTGCTCTTTTGGCTAAGCCATCCACCGAGCAGCAAGGCCGCCGCTGTACCTGCACCATGCCGTCTTTTATAATCCTACATTTTGATCTCCGGTTCAGACAGTCACAGGCTTTGGGAGCTGGGGGTTGCTCTGGCTGCAGTTGCAGAAGATGCTCGTTAGAAATGGGAACTCTGCAGGCACTGGATCTGCTGCTAGCAAGGCTGTGCTGCGCCTGCCCCCCCGGGCAGGCTGGCAGCACTGCAGCGTCTGACCACCAGTAGGTCCCACAGCCGCCCAAGGAGCAGCTTCTCACCAGGGACGCCCGATGCAATGTGAGCCTGTGGGGTGCTGGCATCACTCCTCTAGGTGAGAAGGTTTCCAAGCCCTTACCTAATCCTTCCCCCTTTCCCATCTCTCTCACTCCTGAATAGAAAGTGAAAGTTTCACTTTAATAGAAAAGTGAAGCAATGAAAGTACAGTGAAATCATCACAGTGACATCAAGCTTTAGTTTGAAGCAGATTCAGTCACCCTGTGTCTTCCCGAGGACCGAAACGTACCCCATGAGCTCCCGGGGCAGCAAATCCTGCAGGGTGCCAGCGACACAGCTGTACTCACTGATGGATGGGTGCACCTCCCGGGGGATGCAGGGATGAAGCTTGTAGGGGGGTGCATGGGTGCACCTCGCAGGGGCACGTGCACCTCGCATGGGGACGCAGGGATATAACTCAGAGGGGTGGGTGCAAGGGTGCCTCCTGGCAGGGGGATGCACAGGTGCACCTTGCAGGAGGAAGAAACACAGATGAAACTTTCAGGGGGGTGCATGGGTGCACCTTGCAGGCGGAGGCACAGCTGATGCTTGCAGGGGGGTGCACCTCCCAGGGGGATGCACAGGTGAAGCTTGTGGGGAGGCACAGCTGCACCCTGCAGGGGTGGCTGCACGGGTGTCACCTGGCAGGGGGATGCACCTCGCAGGAAGGGGGGCCGGC